GCCCTCAGGCTTTAAAAGGCTCCAATTTGCCTTGAGGTAACTATCCGCACTCACCAGCGGGACGCGGGTGCTTCCCGGGAGCCCTCCTAGGTGTGTCGTGAGTTGTGTTTCTGGAATCGCGAAGAAATTGTAAAGGCTGCGCGCTTGTGACTTCTCAGGTCTTTGCACCTCCCACAGTCTGCTCATGCGCCTTTCGTGGGATAGAAAACGTTTCTGTCATTGTTTTTTTTTTTTTTTATAACTGTGGGAAAAGATGCGAGAAAATATGATTGGAGGTAGAAGCAGGGCCGCTGGCAGAATAACTTCACTTTAGTGGAGTTGAATGGATGCTGATCTTATTACGACCCCCAAAACCCGGCAGTGCCACTACAAAAAACAGCCTTTAAATCCTCTCCCGCTGGCGCTCACTCGGTTCTTGTCCCTGCTCTTGCAGTAGCTGCCCTACCCTCCAAGAGCTTTCAGTTCATCTTCTATGCCCACATCTCAAACCCACATTTCATATTTTGCTTCCTGCTTTAAAACGGAGATTTCAATCTCACCCTCACCCTAGACTGAGCGGAGGGGTGGGGGGGTGCTTTTAAAAATACTATGCCAGCCCCACAGATTCGAGTTTAATTGGTCTGATGTGAGGTCTGGGTTCGGGATTTTTTTCAAGCTTCCTAGGTGATTCTAATGTGCAGCCTGAGCAGAAATCCACCGTTAAAAAGCATCCATTGATGCGACCTGTTTCAAACAGCTTTTTGCAGATACTTTATCGGTAATGCTTAGGTGTTAGAGACGCTCTTGCTGTTTCCTAAAGTTAAAATACTCTCATTCTTCACCTGTGTAGTCATTCTTGAAGCCATTCACTGGTCTTCTGAAGGTGTAACCTTTGGAGTGAAATTGCTTACTCCCTCCTTTGTGGTCCTAAAACACATTTACACACAATGTCACCAGGCACTTATAAAAAGGCATTAGGATTACTTATAACCCCTACAGATGCAGCTGCTGGAGGGCAGAGACTCATTCCTCCCTATACAGGCTACCTCAGGGAACAAACACTTTTTTTTTTTTTTTAAACAAATTAACTAGAATTACCATTTCTTTTGCAGTTGTTTTGATTTCTTTTATTGAAGTTTTTCCCCCTCTTTTGAAAACTATTGACTTCAGTTAAAAACTCTTGCTGGTTACATACATACAAAAAATAGGTGGTTGTACAACATGGTCCTTAAGGTCTTTTCTAACATTCAGATTCTTATTCTGTGATATCGATAGGATTTTAACTCTGCCTTATTGTATATATTAAACACAGTTATACACCATGCCTTTCGGCGTTCATTCTGTTTGGCAGTAAGTTTCTACCTAGAGAGAATAAAAGAAAAGAAAAAATTAATGGGTGAAGAATTGTTTTAGAAAAGAGAGAGTCACACCCATAAGATTACATCTTATTGAAATTTTTGTGAGTTTGAATAGATAACTTTAGAAATTAAAAACTAGTTATTAAAAAGGATGTTCTAATGGAAAATAGGACCCTGGTATGTGTGGTTTAGTGATTAGAGTGTGGGTCCTGGCAGGAAGGGTCGTGGTTGATTCCCTGTCAAGGGCACGTGGATTCCCCGTTGGTTCCCCGCCCCTATCCGAGCCCTTTNAACTACACATGAATCTTTATAGCACCTTTATTCATAATTGCCAACCAACTTGTTAGCAATCAAGATGTCCTTCAGTAAGTGAATGGACAGGTAAACCATGGTACATCCAGACAACAGAAGATCAGTCAGCACTAAAAAGAAATAAGCCATCAAGCCCTAGCAGGCTTTTCTCAGTGGTTAGAGCAAAGAGCCTCGGGTTCAATTCCAGTCAAGAGCACATACCTCGGTTGCAGGCTCAATCACTGGCCCTGGTCTGGGTGCATGAGGGAGGCAACCAATTGATGTGTCTCTCTCACATCAATGTTTCTTTTTCTTTCTCTCCCCGCCCCCCCCTTCCACTTTCTAAAAAGGAATGGAAAAAATATCCTTGGGTGAGGATTAACAAAAATAAATAAATAAATAAATAATAAATAAATAAATAAATGAAAATCGGATGAAAATACAGGAATAGAACTGTGAGACTGATATGCTTGGATTATTGGAAATCAGGCAGGTAGCATAAATGAAAGCTCATGAAAGAAGTGAGAGTCCACCTTCCAACATGGGAGTATAGCCACCAGACAAATATAGGAAGTGCTAGTAGAAGAAGTGAGTGGGGAAGGAGAGAAAAATGTTAGCGTGTTTGGCCCTAGAGTGGCATACTTAGCAAGGCCATACAAGAATGCTTGAGACTGTGGTGGACCACCTCTCCCATAAACCAGTGGAAAGAACTGTATAGAATTCGTTTTCACTTCAAAATTTTAACCCATTATGTCTAGAGATTTTTGAGTAAGATACAATGAGCCAAAAGGGAAGGAAACTCCCAATTCTAAGCTAAAAACAAAGTCTAGAGCGAAAACAATGTTCCTCAAGAAAATGTGAATTATAATTTTTATTTTTATTATATATATACATATTCCTCACCCAAGGATATTTTTTTCCATTGATTTTTCAGAGAGGGTGGGAGGGGGAGAGAGAGAGAGTGAGAAAAATCGATGTGAGAGAGAGACATCATTTGGTTGCCTCCCACACTTGCCCTGACCAGGGCCAGGGATCAAGCCTGCAACTATGGTATGTGCCCTTGGCCAGAATCAAACCCGGGACCCTTCAGTCTGCAGGCCAACGCTCTAACCACTGAGCCAAACAGGCTAGGGCTTATTTTATATTTTTGAAGGTTGCCGAAATTCTTTCCTATGAATGTTATGAAAAGGTTGTTGAATTCGGTACTGTTGAGGGATAGGTAGTGGTTTACAGCATATTTACTAAACTAGGGTCCAAAATAAGATTGCCAAAAATTATTAGGTTAATTCCTCAGTAATTTCATTTATATATATATTTTCAGTTTTTCAGAGTTTTATCTTTTTGCCAAACCAAACAACTGGAAATGTATTTGTTGTATTGGAACCTAGACTATGTTGAATCCAAAGGATTTGACTTCAAGGGCCACCAAGATACAAAAATACATGTGGATGAATCTTTACCTTGAAATATAATATTAGATTAAGCTTTTATCATTTCCTGGAATCACTGTATAACCATTTTTTCACAGCAGAAAATTTAGACTATATTGCCTTAAATTTGGCAGCAAAGTAACAGTTATGCCATGCTGAATTTCCATATCAGTCAGTTATTTCCTCTTTATGGATGTTGCATTCAATTATTCTGATATTATAGGTCATTATTTATGTCAAAGCCTTTTCTCCTTGACAACAGAACACTTTTCCAGATAGAACAAATAATCAGTAGATTTAAGAGACCATGCAGAAACCTGTATTGATGAATAGTGCATTGAACACTAAACTCACCTGTCTCTGGTATGTAGTTGTCACGGCCCACTTACAGACTTCTCCAGTTCTATACTGACCTCAGCCAAACACTAGATTAGGTTTCAGATTCGTTGGGACTGGGCACTAACTTGAGAAAAACAGAATAAATGAAACTCTGCCTGAGTAAAATCTAGTTCTATTTTATTTTTAAAAACTCAAAGCCAGAATATCTCCTATTGTATGAGCTGGGAATGATTTTGGCTGCAAGAACAGATAGTGTGTCTAACAGTGGCTAGGAAGTCGTTTTTCCTCACGTAATAAGGTGTCTGGAGATTAGGATCCTCTGTTTCGTAACTTCATGGTCACAAGATGGTTGCTGCAACTCCAGACGTGGCATGAAGTAGGGAAAAAGAAATGCTCCCGGGCTGTTTGTCCTTTTCATTTGTTATAAAGCAAAACTCTCCCAGAAGCCCTTCAAGAGATTTGCTCTTATAGTTCATTAGTAAGACTGTGAAGTAGGCTGTTGGGGGGACTGGGAAACCAAGGCTTTTTGTAGCCTCTAGAATGGAGACAAGGCAGGTGGGAAGCAGGTGGGTACAAAGTTTGGGTTAGCTTACCAACACATGTGAAACACGTGTAACTTCTGTGCTATTCAGTTCTGTTCAATGGGATACAGTGTAGCAAAATTGAGGAAATCAAGGAAGTTCTGTCTGCCAGGATTCATAATTTTTTTC